TGCGCCCCCCTGGTGCGCACCCACAAATATGCACATGCTCCTGTGCACACACGTGCATGCACTCACACACGTGTGCGCACACATGCAGGCACACACATGCACATCCCTGGCACGCGCATGCACACATGCTCCTGTGCGCACACACGCACAGCCCTGGCACACGCATGCACGCACACCCAGACTCCACCGCCCTGGTTCCCACCGCACTAGCACCCACCCAAACATCCCACCCTGAAGCAGGACAACCCCCACCCACAGAGACCCGTGTCCCCATGTCCCCCTGCACGAGCAGAGCCCCCACCCCAGGCACCATCCCCCGCCAGGCCACACTCACCCGTATGTCCCTCCCTTATGGATTTGCACCTGACAGTCCCTTTACCCGGGACCCCCTTGTGCCAGGCGCCGTGGCCGTACCACCCTCCCCGCAGGCACCGGATTCTCCTTGGCAAACCCCAACCCTCTGGGCAGCAGCATCCCCTGGGGACCCCGGTGACACCCCCACCGGACAAGTGACACTGACACCGGGGGGCTGCGGGCAGAGCGGGTGAGCCCGGGTGGCTGCACGTCCCCGGCTCCCCGCACACCCCTCGCCCGGGCGGAGGGTGGGGGTTGGCAGCTGGTAGCTATTTATTAACCAGTCATGGTTAAATTGGTTTATAAATTAACAGATGTTTTAACTTTATTCTTTCTTCTGGGAATGGAGGCAGCAAACTGGTCTGTGCTGGCGGCTGGGCACCGGCCGGGGCCCCCTCCCTGGCAGGGTCTTGTCGATGGGGATGGGATGGGGGGAGCAGGGCTGGCAGCCCCCCCCGGCAGGGCACTGTGGGGGCACTGGAACGGGCTTTCGGGTCCCCTGGGGTCACACCTCCCCGGGGAAGGGGGCGGCTGGGGCCTCGGGCTGTGGAGGGCACGTGCTACAGGTGGGTAAACTGAGGCACGGTTGGCACTGACATCCCCCAGCACGATGAGACCCCTGGGCTGTCTCTCCTCTCCTGGTCTCACTGCTGCACCCCCTCTCTCCTCAGGACCTCTGGGCTTGCACCTTCCCCCATATCCCCCCCCCAAGGTTTTAACCATTCGGACCCTCCCGCAGCACGCAGACCCCCGTACTGGGCTCCGTGCGCACAGAGCCCCCCCACCCCAAGCCGGCGCATCCCCCTGCCCGGGTGAGGTGCCCACCCTGGGGGGTGTTGTCCCAGGACCCCCCAGTGCCCCCAGCCCCCGTGGCAGCCCCTGGTCCCACCCTGGCCGGGAGCACCCCGGGGTGTGGGCACGAGTCTTGGCGTGGGCCGGCGGCCGGCGGCTGCCAACCGGGACAGCTCCAGCCGCGGCTTTGCTCCGGCCGCCCTGTGCCAAAACCCTTGAGCCCGTGCCCAGGCCTGCTCTCGCCACGCGGCTGTGCCAGCACCGGGATGACCGTGCCAGCCCGGCCATGCCAGCGTCGGGCACCGCCATGCCAGCGTCGGGCACCGCCATGCCAGCCGCACCGGGGATGACATCTGCCGGCAGCGTGCCGCAGCACCGACGGGCATGGCCTGGCTGGCGAGGGCACCTGGGCCAGGCCCAGCCTTGGGGGGGACGGGACAGGAGGACACAGCCCCCCCTGCCCACCCTGCTGGGGTGCAGGGATGGGACCCCCTCCTCATCCTGCCGGGGACGTGGGGACAAACCCCCTCCCCATCCCACCGGGGATAAAGGGGGGACGTGTCCCCTCCTCGCACCGGGGTCGGAGCCCCCACATCTTCCCAGGGATATGGGGTTGTAGCCCCCACACTCGCAGCCTCCCCCGACGTGGTGGGATTATGGGGTTGCAGCCCCCCAGTCCTGCCAGCACTGCTCAGTGCCTCAGTTTCCCCATGGCACAGAGGGGGTGCCACCTCCCCCCCTCAAAGTGCTGCCCAGCCATTCTGGCAGTGGGACAGTGGGGTGCCACCGTGGGGGTGGCCAGGTCCCCAGGCCCCCCCTCACGCAGCCCCATTTGGGGAGGGGGCCGGCCCCAGGTCCCCCTTCCCCTCTGTAGCTTGTTGCTGGAGCAGGGGGGGAGGCTCCCAGCAGGGAAGGGGTTAAGGCCCCCCCGGCCCCCCCCCCATCTCCGGCTCCCCGCCCCCTCGGGCTCCCACGCGTGTTCCCACTCCTGGCACCTCCTCCGCGCCCGGGGGAGCACCGGCCCCCACCCGGCCGCCCCCGCTGCAGCTCC